CCCATTTGCAAGTCACCTTTGCCAGTCGCTACCTCGCGAAACGTCTGATAAAGGACCTACACATGACTCCGCGTCCTTTCGGCTTTTGTTTCGACATCGAGCAGGTTGAAGGTCAAACTACATGGCAACGCAGATAAGAAGCTGCCAGATAGCACGGCGGCACCACAACAGAAGTCCCCACCAACGAAGGTCAATAAATGCTCCTTTCCAACACATGGGAAGCGGACAATCGCAGACTTTCACCTCCATGATTGTTTGAGGGTGGGGCTGGCTCGGTTAAAAACATGTCTGACATCATCAGTTGAACATGTTTTTTCAATATCAGGCCTGTAGCATGCTATTTGTATATGGGCAGCTCAATGCATTGTGCGCGTGCTCCCTTGGACAAGAAACATTGAGCAGCTGCATGCCTTTCTGGAGATTGTCTGTGTGTGTGTGTGTGATAGGAGCATAGTGTTTGTGGAAGATTATATTACATAATTCTACAAGTAGTAGCGGCGGATTTGCAGAGGCTTACGGGAGGGGGTGATCCGGCAACGAGTGCGTCAACAATGCCGGAGTACTTGGGGTTCACACGCATAGTGATTTGAACCCTCAAAATTGGGCTTTTAGCAATGGCTGGCCGTTTGGTCCCCGTTTGGGGAAATAAAGGGATCGCTCGAAGAGGTTTCTACATGAATCGAGGCACGTATGTGAACCTTGCCTCAAACTTGATCGATGTTGGACTCCGCGCTTGCTAAGTGGGGAACGATTTGTGCAAGAAAAACAAATGAATAGGGGCTTTCATGGGGAAAATAGGATTCATTTTCTTGACCTTGGTCAATTGCTGTGCCGTGTGAGGTTCCGACTCAAGTTTGGGCCGTTTGGGCCACGAGTTCCCGCGGCTTTGGTTGTGCGCCAGGCCATTGGTCTTACGCGGGAGAAGGACTCGGGTCGAGGAAATCGGAAGGTGTCTTTATACGCAACCCAATCCCAGATTGAAAGAGAGCTCAGAGATTCTTGGGGAAGATGTCAACAGGGCGAAACATTGCCTCTCCCTCACAGAATGGTTCTGCCTTCTACGGGCAGAATGGTTCTGTCTTCTAAGGGCAAGTTCCAAGAAAGTTCCAAGATCGCTTCTTGGCTTGTGGGGACGGATTTCAAAAGCATTTCAATTTGTACAACGCCGGACCGACATTGTTTGAGGGGCGAACCCCAGAAGGTTTGGTGGCAGGAACACTTGATAGGTTGATGGGAACAAACCCTCCTGTTCATGTAAGCCCTGCCTACATGAGTATGTAACCCAAAGAGACAATAGTTATGTTGACTGTACACAAACCGGATAAATCATAGAATGATCATATTCCTTTATACTTATTAGAGGTGGGTCTAGAACTTGCTTTGGACGATTCCTTTTGCCTTTTGATTGACCCCAAAAGACCGACGTGTCGTGAGGCTGCTCGCCCTTTAAAGTTTGATTCCACCGTTTTGGTGGATTCAAGTTGGAGCCCTTCCGGAGGCTCGCCAGCGTTGCTTAAGCCGCGGGCTTGGCCAAAAAGAAGCCGGAGCCCTGCAGTCGCTTGAGTCGGACATCAAGACCTGCGGGGATGTGAGCCTTTGAAAGGGGTCACAAAGTGACCAGCATGCGTTCGCTGGGCGATGTTGTCCATTGTGGCTAGCACGCAATCTTGTGGCTAACATCACGTTTTGCCCACACTTTGGTGTGCTGGAGGGATCACGGGGGGCGCTGTGTTTTTCCGAGTCGTTTGCTGCACTTATTTGTGGTGCGGCTTTGGGATTCTCTTTTTTTTGTTTTGGGTCCGGTCCGCGGGGGCCTTTCTCTCTCGCTCTCTCTCTTTTTTTTCCCCGGAGACCGGGCCCAGCTCCGGACCTTTTTTGATTCAGAGGACACAAACAGAAAAGAGAAGCAAAACGGCAAAACGCGCAGCTGCACCCACCTCTGGCGCCCCTTTTTTTTCTCTCCCTTCTTTTTGTTCGAGGGCGTTTCCTTTAAACATCAACGACCGGAGAAAATGGCGTCTGCTCCGATCCGGACCTCGGATCCGATCGCATCCGATTGCATCCAGGAGCCGGAGATCTGGGACGCCATCCGCTTCGGGGCCTTGCTGGAGAACGTGGTCTTCGACTCCCGCACAGGCACCGCCTGGAGTGGGCCGTGGTTTTTGCGGGGGGGGGGGGGGTTGGGGGCCAGCTTTGGGGGGGGGGGGAGTTGGGTGGCTCTGATGGGTTTTTGGGTGTTTGGTTTGTCCCCTATTTTGAGACAAAGCCAAGGGGAGATCTGGAATCAAGTCGAGCGGAAGTTCACAGGTGACCTCGCCCCTCCACGGTCTGGTATGCAACCCATTTCCCGCAGAGTCTTTCAAGGCGGTTTGTGAGGCCCCACGTTTGGGACAAGAGTTTCGCCGAAAACTGGAGGGCGGAGTCCAAGATAGGCATTTCATTTTCAACCAGATAAGCTAGGGGACTCACTGTGGGGGTTATCAAAGCCACCAGCAAAACAGGCAAGTAACCCAAAAAACCCAAGAACAACCTAATAGCCCAGCAACAATGGGATTGATTCCCTTTATCCCACCGGGGTGAAAGAATGAGGCCAGCCTCCCAACGGAAGCCTTTGTAACTTTTGGAATCCTGTCACCATTTCAATTCCCCACGCTCCCAAATTCGTCCCTGGCAAACACGCAGGCGAGGTGGACTACAACGATTCCAGCATCACGGAGAACACTCGGGTGCCTCGGACTTTGGGGGCACGCAAGAACGACCACACGCTATATTTTTTCTTTCGCCGGGGGTTTGTTTGGCTAGCTGGTTTGGGTAGTTCTTAGCCCTGGCTGCATTTTGATGGGCTGCAGTCCTGACAAGACAATGATCCCTGCGAAGAGCTTTGCTCATCTTGAAGGGCAATGCTAAGGTTTTCAGATCCTAGGTGTTCTGATGCAAAATGGATTGGACGTGTTAGAGGGAAGCCCTGCTTTGGTTGAGGCACGGGTTGGCTTTGGTGAGAGCTCTGAATGCTTTCACAGGAATTGTGCCCGGCGTTTGCGGAAGAATCCACTGGGGGCGAAGTCAGTCCGAAACAGATAGTTGGGGGTCCATGAGAATCCCATGAGAGGAATAATTCTGAGGGACCATGCCAACTTTAGCTGCTGCTCAGATTTATTCACGGAGACCAAACATCTCTGTTTCCATTCGCTTTTCCCTAAATTCGGTCCCCAATCTTACTGTGCAAGCTATGAATCAACATGGAGTCCCCGAATCCTGTTTGCGGAGGAGCCTTTTGCAGACCCAGCTTCCAGTTTTTGACTTTCAGATGTGGACATCCGGCAGGTGTCCTATCCCTTGGAGTACATCCCCAACGTGAAGATCCCCGCAGTAGGCGGTCATCCCAAGAACATCATCATGCTGCCGGGAGCTCGGAGGCTCCATTAGATTACCCAGGAACTTCGTTTCTTTGGGCCAAGGCTGGGGATGTTTCCTCTTTGTTGTCAGGGCGGCTTTCGATTGAGCAAAGTCTAGATCAATTGGACAAGGGCTGCACCTGATGTGCCCAGTGACAACAGCCAGCCTACCCATAGTCTAAAAAATGAGGAGACCCTGTTGGCAAGCCAAATCATGCGACGGGGGCTTTCTGGCCAAGGGACCCGCACTTTGTTTTTCTTCCGTTCGCCCCACAGGCCTTAGCGCGGGTTTGAACGATGCTAGCGGTAAATCTTCGCGGCATATGGGTCTGTCTCTTTTTGGAGTTGGTTCTCATTTTTTGTGGTTTCCTGGGAAACCAAACGGAACATAATTTTGGAGGGTCCGATTCCAAACAAAACGAGACACGCATCTTCACCAGTAGGATGGACTTTTGATGGGATAGGAGGTGTTTTCGGAAGGGGCCCAAGGCCAAAGGAACACTACCCTAAACCCGGGATCAATCCTAAGGAATCCAAAGGAACCGTGGGACCCTCGACTTTCCAGCCGTGACCAAATTCCCCCTGAGGAATCCGTAGAAGGCTGGGTTCTCAGATCAATTCAATCAGGCAAGATATCCAGAAAGCACAATGGTTGAAGTTGCTTTTTTTTGCTTTTTAAGTGAACCTTGGATGGACATATCATCAAATCATTGAAGCTGAAATTTGGGTGCGCTTCTCCTTGACGGTACCACTTTTAGCTTTTTTGAGAAGGACATCAAAGGGACACCGTCCCATGATGAAGGTTTGACGTGTAGAGACCGCCCCACTTGCCACGCGCGTGCCGTCACAGCTGCTTGTCACACGAGGTTCGTGTTTTAGCGGGTCTAGATCAGCATTTGCAAGGTTTTTGCGCGCGATCCGGGCTAGCTCTCGCATTTCTATTTGGTTGGCACGATGCCTGCCGAGAGTTCTTTGATCACGAACAAGCCGATTTGTGTGGGCGTTGGGTCGGGATTTCAAAAAAAAACTCCAGGGACCACAGGTTCCGGGCCTTCAGTGGGATTTGCCCTCGTTTCCCGAACACCCGAAGAAAAAGCAGGGTCTTTCCAGCAACCCAGATAGACCGGGGAGTTGGAAGCGGGACCGGCCGCCCTGACCCTCTTGGGGTTAATTTGAAGCACAAATTCCCAGCAGAAGGAGAACCATGTGTCCAACGGTCAGTATTTACTGTGTACGGTCCCGTGAGGATTGAAGCCCTTTGCGTTCAAGCCGTCTGATTTGGGGGGGGGGGACAGTCATTTGCGCAGATCTTTCAATACGGCTGGATTCTCCTTTTGCCATCCTTCCGTCGCTGATGCCGCTTTCCCTTTTAACTGGTGCATTATTTTTCCTATGAGGGGTTTGAGACAACCGAATAAATTTCCATGGAAGCCAGGTTTTGGGAAGGAACCTAGGGATTCTCTAAGGCAACCACCATTTGGACGTTTCATGCGAGTCGTTGCAACTCATTTGCTGAAAGCCAGCAAGATTCTTCCTATTGTATGGCGAGCTGAGTGATTTCTGGTTTTGGACCTGTCAAAATTGGTTTCGCAAGAAAACTGCTCTGGCCGGGGACCGCCACTTCCGAGCCCCCTGTTTTCATTTAAACGCTTGGACTCCTATTGGTGCTTTCATGGGTGAGTTATTTAGTATGTGATCATGTCGCCTTCTCAGGGATTCGGGCCCAGCTCCCTCGGGTCGTCTCCGGACCGAGGACCTGTGACGCCTTTGGCGTGCTGCCGCCGGTGTCGAAGCTGACTCCATCTCAGGCGCGGCGTCGTTTTTTGTTTTTTCAACTAGGAGGTGAACTGAAGGCACAATCTCCTTTGCGTTTTTGCAAGGGGGGGAATCTTGGACTCTGACAGTTCGTTTTTGGCCTTCCCAAAAAACGAAGGCTACAAGGTAAGGCCCGAAGTGAATCCACCCGACGCAGATCAGAGGGCGGAAGGCATCTCCGAGCTTCCCTCCAAAGCGCCCAGAGTCTCCCAAAAGCATCGTGGATCTCTGTTGACATTTCCTGGGTTCACCAGTGAATCAGCCATATGGGTCTGCCGTTTTGGGGAGTTGGTACCCTTTTTGGGTGGTTTGAAAAGGGGAACTCAAGGAACACCAAGATTTTGCGGGGTCCCCTTAAAAAGACGCACCCTTAGTGTTGGATGCTTGGTCGGTGGCAAAGGCTGAGGTGGTTTTGGGGAATTTGGTTCTCAGAGCGAACACCCGTGAAGGAACAAGCTTTATGCACCGGGCACACGGCATAGTTTTAGATGTCGCTTGGAAGTTGAACCCCTTGGTACGTTCCCCATGATTCGACCCATAATCCAATGCCCACCCCTTGGCAAAATTCCGATTTCCTAAAATGTGGCGACAAATTCTGATTCAGGTTGGGCTTTTGTGCTGCCATGATTAAGCAGGGGACCCCTTTACTGCAGGCAAAATGAGCAGGCTCATGCTATCTCCGACCCCCAATCGATGCACGATTCAAGTGAAGCAAGTAATATGGACCTTGATTGCACTGAGGACCCCTAAACTTACCTGAATAAGACATCCACGCGAATCGGTAAAAAGTTTAGTTACCTGCAACCGAGCCTCCCGAGGTGAACGGACTGTGCACATGCTGTTGTGGTTTTCTTCTGGTATGCACAATTCGCAATGACCTATTTGGCCGGGCGGAGGTTCCTTCATGCCTTTCAAGTTCTTGTGAACGCTTGAATAAAAACGAAGGGAGCAAGGGCTACACATTTTGGGAGCCCATGAGTTTGTTGCCAGAAGTTCAAGCAAATTTTCATCCCAAATAACTTGGATTCGCCGAGGTGTGGACCCCAAACCCCAAACCGATACTCCAAGTTCGGCTGAACACGCGGCCCCCTTCTCGCGCGAAATGATCCAGAAAATATAATAGTGTCTGTTCACATGAGTCAGACGAAATGGCTTTTTTCTCAAAATGGGCTGAACCCGCAAAGGGTGGTGTCCTTTTCGGAAGGAATGCATTCCCATTGCACCGCCTGGAGGGGGAGGGGTGGACCAGGGGGGATTCGAGCCCAGGAGGGGGGGTGGGGAGTCTAAATTATTGATTCGTGCAGCTGATAACATCGATCTTTTGGCATTTCAGCCCCTTACCTTGCTTACGCAAGGAGAAACTTCAGCTAGCTTAAGCTGGCTTTCGTGAAAACATCGTGGTCAAAACGCACACCCTGAAAGAAGCTGTTGTTTGGGCCCGAGTGTTTGAACAGGAGAGTGACATTGGTGAACTCAAGAAGAGTCAAATCTGCACCTACAGTAGTCGCCTGCAGCGTATGTGGTGCCCTGCGGCTGCTGCTTGGGAGACACCTAAGTATTCCCTGCGATCAGACACCAAAGCAGTTTTACCAACTCCAGTCCAAGTCGACATGAAGTCTTTCGTGTGCTGGGCCCTGCAATGCAGCTTCCTTTGTGTCGAAAGGCGTTGACTTGGACCCAGAAACACATTTGCAGGGCATCCGATCTATCCGAAACCACTTTCGTGGTCTGCCTCAGTTTTTTCAGGAAGGCACCTCGCAGGAATCCGTACGCAAGCAACGTTTTTCACGGCTTGCCGGGCCACCATGTATAGCGTCCTGAGAATCTTTACGGCGCCTTTCATGGCGTGCAAGCTACCTGTGGAATCCACTCCGCTTGCGACCCGTCTCGTACAACGGCTGCTAGCTTTCGTTCGCCCCCTCGTCAAGTTCATGTCCTGTTTGGGTTTTGTCACAAACTTTGGGGACCCTGAAGTGGTTTCACTTTGATTTCCACGGCCATTTGAGCGTGTCCAATATTTGAGCGTAACACAAGGGGCAGACACATTCTCTAATTTAACCCTGCGATCAAGACACTATGTTGCTTTCATGTACCCCACAACCTTGTTCAAACCATATAGGCCCTTAAGTTATCCTAGGTCAAATTGATTCCAGTTGTGGTAGTCCTTCCTGCAGGCGATGTACCACTTCATCTCTGGGTACACTGCCAAGGTGCAGATTCCCAGCGTGTCCCAGACAATCACCCAACGTGATTCCTGCCAGGTTGTAGGATAAAGAGGGTTTATAGCGAAATCCCAGTTGTATATTTTTTTTAGTACAAGGACTGTTGAAATCCACTGCTGAAATCCTCAAATCTGAGTCTACGACTCCCATTGAACAATCCCTCTTGGAAGCTGGCGAAAAGGCTGTCTAGAGCTTCCTGGTGAAACTAAGAATGGTATAGTCCCCCGTTTTTGGATAGTTCACTTCTCCCAATAGGATTTGGTTTTGACACAAGCCGCTTCTTGAATAGAAGTTGAGGTCGCGCCTTGCGGACTTGACCCAAACACCCATTCTTGGCCATGTTGTTCAGGCCATCTGTTTCCATAAGATGTTGCTCATGTTCAGTGGCTCCTTTGGCCCTGTTGTCTGTTTAGTGGGAGCTGCAAACACAATGTTTCTACCCCACAACACCTGGGTTTGGAAAGATGAGCATGAAGCCCCGCTTGGGGGTATACAAGAACCCACCCGAAAGCGGTTTCGAAAGGACAGCTGTCTGTCAAGCGCCCAAGTTAGCAAGCGCCGGTTGACCACCCTTGGTGTGTCTGCAAGTTGAGGGGTCCTCTAGCGGTTGGTTCCCCCTGCTTTCAAAATCCTTGAAAGGGCAGAAGGGTTTTGCTTGAACCCTCCAACGGCAGGGTAGTCCTTAGAGTAGCTTATTGGACAGCAGTATGGCTTACCGAAACGGGCGGTCAAACTGAGTCCAAATGGGGGTTCCAACGCATTTGGATCTGAATTTGAGTTGGAACCTCAGAAGGATTTGTCTAGAGAATTGGCCAACCACCCCACCAAAAACCAGTTGATTTCCTGTTTGACATCCCGTAGTTGGTTTCTTAGGAGGTGGACATTTGTCCTCCACCTAAACGATGTCAACCAACGGGTCTCTCATGAAAATTCGCTCCCATTTTGAATCAGACCCACGTATCTGGCTGGCTTCGGAATCGTCGCTCGATTCCGGGGCCGTGCAGATAGAAAGAATTGCGTTGCAGATAGAGGATTACTATCATTTAGAACCGCGCCCATTCTTCGCCCATTCTTCCAGAAACGGGAGCGTCTTTTGTTGAGGGTGCCGAATTTTGGGTTTTCAAAGGGAAACCAAAAGTCCCTCAAAGGAAAATGTATTTCACCGCAAACTTCAATTTTGTCAACACCGCAGGTCCCTGTGTTCCTGAACCCCAGACTCTTTGGGAAGCAAATCTCAGGATCAATCTAGAGAACCAGTTCACCAGTTTCGGGTGTTTCATGAGTTGTTCTCAGGGTTTCCCTTTAAAGCCATGCCAAACGGCGGAGGGGGTCAAACAAATTGAGAACTACCCATCCGCTAAAATCATATTATGGGTATTTGCTCAAAACATAACCCAAACAGCTTTTCTTCACTTTGGTTTCCCTCTGTCTTCCCTAGAAAGGGTACCCTCAAAATACACCCACCCATGTGGTTTGTGTCACAATGGATGTGGGAGTCGATCAAAAGGTCCTTTACATAGGGTCACCATTGAGGAAGCCAAAAAGGATGACGTTCACCACTAAATGGGAAACCTTACCCATGGTGATTTTGGGGCCAGGAATATTGATCAACCCCATGTATTTGTTTCTTGGGGAACCATCTATTTTGGTTTGGTCTTGAGAAGCAAAAGGGAGCCGTGTTAATATTCAGGGGATTCCAGTGAGTTGGGGGCCCCTTCCGGATTCCCACAACTTTTGGGGATTCCCTGACCAGCACAAGTTGCGTTTCAATTCAAAAGAAGTTGGTTCCTCAAGAAACAGGCACACCCATGGGGGGGGGGGGTTGATCGGTTGATCAGTATTCCGTGCGGCCCCAAATGACCACGGGTAGCTTTTCCCCATGTGGTGGAAGAATGAAAACTTCTTGGTGGTCTTCCAACCAATGGCCATCCCATCAGGACCTTTTGATCCACCTGATCAACCCAAACCAAAGTGGTTGTTGGTTCCCCAAAGTTGGTTCCCCAAGCCAAAGTTGCTGTTGGTTTCCCTTTAAAACCAGCACACTCACGTCAAGAGCCCACTGGGTTTCCCTAGTACATGAGGTGGCCGGAACTGAAGAAGGCGTCACCGAGCCAACGGCGTGGCGCCCAGTTCGAATCGAAGTGCTTAAAGTGGGCATTCGGATGTACAGATCTACGGATCTACGGAGGGTTGGTTGGTTGGTTGGCTGGCTGGCTGGTTGGTTGGTTGGTTGGTTGGCTGGCTGGCTGGCTGGCTGGCTGGATGGTTCGTTGGTTCGTTGGTTCGTTTGTTGGTTCGTTGGTTCGTTTGTTGGTTCGTTGGTTCGTTGGTTCGTTCGTGGGTTCGTTGGTTCGTTGGTCGGTCGGTCCGTCGGTTGATCGGTCGGTCGGTTGGTTGGTGGGTTGCTTGGTTGATTGGTTGGTTCGTTGCTTCGTTGCTTCGTTGGTTCATTGGTTCGTTGGTTCTTTTTTTGTTTTTTGCTTGCTTTGTTGTTGTTACCTTCGTTCGTTCGTGCGCTATGGATCGTGCCGTGGGTCAACCATATGAAGTGCCTTTGAAGGGAAGCCAGGTCGTTCCAACAGGATCAAACAACGAAAGTAACACGATTGGACACGTTGTCCAAACACTAGCCCGCCCCCTTTGAAAGTGGAAGTAAACGGAGGTTGTTTGCAACAGCAGGTGTTAAGAATCAAAACTATGGTATAAAAGCTTAAACAAGGGATCGAGTTGCCCTCGGGGTTGGGGAAACGAGGGATGATGCTGCCAGTGAGGCGACCTTCTCCGCGTGCTTCGGGGCGCCCTTCATGGCTCGGGCGCCCGCTAGACTGGATCTTTGCCCGCCTTCGGGCGACATGAGGGTGCTGGGAGGGAGGTCCTGGGGAAAAGAGCGATCAACCACTAAGAGTACTTTGTCTAGCTCGACTTTAGGCTTGCTGAGGACCTGTGGTTCCCTTTCCCTTCTGTTTTTTGTTTGGGGGGGGGGAGGGGGAACCCATTCAACATCACCGGCGGAAAAACGGTAAGAAGCAGTGGCCGCTTTTGAATCAATCCACGGGGGCCTTTATGCGTTCTTCCCGAAGAAAGCAAAATCAAGCGGGTCATCCGATGTGTCAACATCCGGGGACCCCTGAATAGATTGTTTTCCATCTGCCGTCCACGTAAAACAGCCCCACAAAGGGCACCCTTAAGCAAACACGCACACACACACAGAGAGACGCAGCAGAAGCACAATCACAAAACAAACAAATACAAACACATGTTGTTGCCCCCAGCTTGAATAGATAATGTGCAGGGCTCCCGGAAAAGGTGTCTGTGGATTTATCGGATAATTGCTGTTGTTGGTTTCAACCAGAGTCTCCTTTTTGGTTTTCCTTTTTGTTTTCCTTTAAGGAAAGCCAGAAGAGGGCAACCCTTCTGATTTTCCTTCACCTTCGCGTTGCCCTTTCTCCTTTGTGTTTCTTTCGGCTTCTCCAAAGCCTTCAGCAGCGCCCTTTGCGCCGCGCCGCAAGCTGCCGCGCGTGTTTTTTTGTTTCTCGCGGAGGTTTGGCACCCGGCCAAGTACGCGGAGCTGTTGGCCGAGAAGATGGCCAAGCACAACGTTAACGCGCGGCGCTCGTTCCATGGGTTTCACTCGGGTTTGGAGGCGTTGGAGGTCGGTTTTCCCCGGTTTTTAAGTAGTTTCCTAGGAACGCGATCAAGCCTACCTTGTGCTCAAAGCTGGAGTTTTCCCTGGTTGGAGGTATAGTCAGTGGGGGTTTCTCAGGGTAGAATCCAGTTTGAGAATCCAGTCAGAATCTGGCGGTTTTTTTTTTTTGGGGGGGGTCCCCCTTAAGACAAACCCAGGTATTGTCAGTAACAACTAGCAATGTCGGCTCAAGAGTTCTCGCCACAAATGTCATGTTAGCTTCCTGGGCAGAGGTTAATTAGTTTCGTTTTCCACTTGCTTAATTGGTTTGCTCATTTTTCCTCCTTTTCTGATTTTGATTGTGCACAATTGTTCTTTTCTGTTTGATTTTCCGAGTTCATTTTTGCACATCTTTTCCTGTTGTTACAAAACGGGAATGGTGATGTCCCGGAATTTCAAGTCAGCTTCGGGCAAATCCAAAGAACATGAAATCCCAAAGCTGGTCGGTGTGTGGCTATTGGTTTGGGGAACCTAGACACATTTCTCCAGGAGCATGCCCACTTGGATTGGATGCTGCGACAACTTGTTGTAGCGTCCTAGCTTGGCAGAGATTTGTCTCCAGCTTTGCTGCAGCAGTGCTGATTTTGAGGCAAGATATAGCCCAAAATGGGGGAAGCCAAGAAGGATCGAGTCCAAACACTCGGTATCAATCAGGTACTCAACAGCTACCAGCGCCAAAACCCCCCCCCCCGAAAGGGCCAGTTTAAGTGGTTCTACCGATCGGGGAACTCCCGAAATGGCGGCCACCCAAATTGTACCCGAAGACGCGTCACGCGCATGTTTAGGAGCTTCCAGTTTTCATTGGTGGTTACCTTTTTGGTTTGCTTTCCATTCTTTTTTGGGGGTTCCGTCTCCCCCAAGAAATGTAGGGGGATAAAGGGTCAAGGGTATGAAATCGATTTCCCCCAGTTCCCTTCTTAGGCAGTTTCGGGACATGAGGTTCTGTCATGGAAAATCCCGTCTATGGTCCATTTGGGAGGGACATGGGGGAACGAGCTCTAACTTTCCGCTCACTAAGCTTTCCACAAACATCAGGCGGAAAAATGATTCTCCCATGTCCATATTCTCATAGAGAGCAACCATGAGGATTCCTGTTACTGGTATGACCATGACCCACACTTTGAAAGTTTTGCCAGTTGTTTTTTTTGGCAACACCCAACAAGTTGCAAGCGGTTCTTTGTTTTTTGTCAAACAATAAAATAAATCCCATTTTTGGTGCATGGTTGCATGAAATCTCCCGTGGTTGGCGACGTTGGAGGCCTGGCTCATCAACACGGGCTGGACCGGGGGCGCCTATGGCTCTGGCCACCGGATGAGCCTCAAGGAACGATTCGATGGGATTTCGCGCGAGAAAACAAAAAATCAGGGGGGGCGTTCGCTTTTTTTTTTGGTTGGAGCCCATAAAAAAGGGCTTTCGCCGTTTTGAGACGGGGGGGCAGTGGGGTGGCCTTTGAGCCGGAGGATTTTTTGTTTTCTGATTGGCGATGTTTCTCAGTGATTCCAAAGGCATCGCAATGACAGTTGGCAGTCTGGCACACCTGAGGAGGTATGTCTGGAAAGCTGAATGCATCAGGGGTTATTGACTGTACCACAAAACACTGAGCAACCAATCAAATGAAAGGGTTTTATGCACCAGCCATTGTAAGTCATAGGCCAAACCGCAGCCAGCTATGTTCAAGACCTTTTAAATGCCTGTTCAGAGAACCTAGGGGTGTTGAGCAACCATGAATCTCCTGTGGCTGGGTTGATGTGTAAAGGGGTCATAGAAGGAAGTCTGCAATCCTTAGCTGTTTTTTTAAAGGGACATGGGACTGGAAAGACTTGAGCAAATGTAAATGGAAGTCACTTTGCAGACTCGGCAATGTTTGTGTTTTTCCAACGGTTCCGTCTTTTTGTGGGTGCTGGTCAGGGTTGGTGCTTAGTTGGCGCACAAGCCAGTGGTGAGGGTGCTGTGTCGGGTGCTGTTAATGGTTTTAGTCGGGGTGCTGTTCAAGGTGCTGTTTGGTGTACCGAAGGCGTGCGACAGTTGCTAGTGTGCTTGTTTGGCGATGCAGTCAGGGTGCTGATCAGGGTGCTGTTGTAATCTCTCCTGCTATTTGGGGTTTATGCAGTGTATTTGTGCTTTTTCATTTTGCACTTTTGTTGGAAAACGAGACTGGCTATTCTATCCAGTCGCACCTTCAGGAAGATGGAAGAGAGATTGCTGAATCGGTGCCGGAGAGAATTGTTCTCCCAACTGAGCCACTCAATTTCAACTACCACACCCACAAAAAACAGCTGGATTTCTTGTTTTGTATTTCCATTGGTATCCATTGGTTTGCGTCCAAGGGCTCCAAAGTTTAAATGCCTACTTCATGGCGAGCTCAGCGGGCAATGGTGAAGGCCCTAGGCTTGGGAATTCAACTCGTCAGGTGTTGGACTTGCAAAGCCTTGGCCAAAATGGGAAATGAGAGAACCACTCATTGTTTTGGTAAAAATGTTTAAGGTTTTGTGGTTGGGTTTCCATTTAGCCCACTAAAAAGGTATTCACTTTCAGCAGATCTGAAAAGCGGACAGCCTGGTAAGAAATGCGATAGCCGTTTCGGCCTCACTTTTCCGGAAAATCGGCCCGCAGGACACCCGCGCCATCATCGATGCCATCCACTCCGGGGATCTCGCAAAGGTGGAGCCCTTTGGCTCCATGAGCGATTTTTTTTTTGTGTTTCGACTGTGACCAATCAGCCAGTATGTGGGTGGTGGTCCAAAAATAGGAATCCCCAAAATGGGGTGCCCTGGTAAATGGAAAGGACTGAAACCATTGGTCCCTATCTTGGTGGTGACTAACTTTGACCCACCCCCTTTTCAACAACCGATTTTCTCAGTTCAGCCCACTAAGATGGTCAATTGTCAACCCCAAGAAGGGATCCCTACAACCAGCTGGCACTGGGTCTACCTGAAACCCTGGGGTTGCCAGGTTACTGCAGAGCAACCCGAATCAACGGTGTGTTTGAGCACACCCGTTTCCCTTTTTGCTTGGTGTGCTCAAAATTGGTCAACGCCTTGGGGGCGCCCGTGTACCAGGCTCATTGGGCAACTGGCATGTTGGTCTGAAGGATACCCCCTCTTTGCATGCTTTTGCGGTTTGGGCTTTGGGGCTTGTTATGCGGCCCGAAGAGCATCCCCCTGAAAAGAGATAACATTGTGGTTGGAATCAACTACTGTAAAAGGTATCACGGCGGTCATTTTCAGGAAACATTGTTGCCACTGTTTTGGCCAGGGTGGTGCCAGCTTGAGTAGGGGCCACTGAGGTGACATTTGCACAAGATTCAGGAAATGATGGGACACAGAACTCCAGGGGATTTGACCTTTAACCTTTGACTGTCTGGGGACAAACATGTTTCCCCACCAAGTCGCAAGCAGTGATTCACTTGTTGCAGGGGGTAGTTGGACCAGTTATAACTTCTCTTGATTCATGGCGCCTCAGTTGACCGTTCAATGTGGGGCTGTGAGTCGAATCGTCATATGCACACCACCGGCGTGGGAACACCGCTTGGGAAGGCCTGGAAATCGCTTCGGTTCCTTCGGATGTGTCGCGAAGGGAAAAGGGAAGCCAGAAGGCGCTCGGAGGCAGAGCTCCCACCCTTCAAGTGCTACCTTCCATTTCCATTCTTTCCAGGGATCCTTCTTTCTAGAAAACCTCCGGAAACCCAGGGAAACGGCCGGTTTAAAAGAACGATGGTTGGAAAGAATGGGGAATCAACCCTTAGAATCTTCACTGACGACCTCCGAGCCCTTCAGATTGACCTTGCAGGGCTAAGAATGCGGAGGCCACTGCTCACATTGACAGATAAGTGGCGCCTGCGCTTCGCAGTTCTTGTCTTTTCCATTTGTTTGATTCTGTCCATTTTTGGAGGGCGCTGCAAAAAATAAAGGGTTGCAAAGAACAGTCACTTGCTTGGGCTTTGTCCAACGCCTCCTTTCGTTACAAAGGTTCCTCACGGTACCGAGCAGAAGCCACATCTTGGGGGACCTCTGCAATAGGAGCTGGGTTCAGTGGGGGATCCATCACGAGGGGAACACCCTATGTACATAGTATAGATTGGGGTTGACTACTCTGGGGACCCTATTACCAGCTTTGTCAAGAGTGATTCTCGACCCCCAAAAGGCCTTGGGACTGGTAGAGCTAGCGACCTTAGAATTTTTGCCTGCAAACAGTGATTTGCAAACAAGGTGCTTAACTCCATCATGGTGTTATGTGTATTGTCTTCGTCTATGTCTATGTTTTAAAGGTGGCCTTTTTGAGGTTGTTTTAGCCGGATCCCTCCGAGTTCCTTTTTTTTTGGGGTGGGTCTAATGTCGACAAACATTGCCAGCACGTCCGGTTGCTAGGTATGAGAACATGTCGCGCTTCAACCTCCAGGCCGCTCGACGTTTGGGCTCGGAGAGTGCCATGGGGGGCTGCCTGCAAAAAAGATCTGGCTGGTTTCGGGGGACGAGCCGGAGGGCTGACCTACTTGCCGCAAAACGAGAGGAGCAAATGGGAGGTTGCGCCAGCCTGCTACATCGGCTTGGACTTCCCTTTGGGCCTGGTTTAAGAGTGCAAACCAGGTCCTGGCCCGGCTTATAGCTTCAGGCTTGGCGACTAAAAGGAAGAAGGCTATGGCTGAAAAACACATCAGGTTTAGTCAGTGGGATACTTCCATAGTTGTTCTTCAGGATTTTACATATTCTGCGGGCTTTGTGGACCAGAATCGGAAACAAAAAGAAAAAACACAGACACAGCAAAAAATGTATGTTTGGTGTACCGGAGAGTCGGGCCAGGAGATGCAGCGCATCCTAGGCTTTGCTACTCCTGGTTTGCTTGGAAGGGAAAAGAACGCCAGACTCTCCAGACTCAGCGTGCTTGGCTTGAACACGTCAGGTGCCCAAGAGCTGTCCCAACGTGGACACGCAGATCCTGATGCCCAACAAGACCTGGAAAAACCAGGCCGGACGTTCTTTTTTTTTTTGTCTTCTCTCCGATGGCTTTTAGGCACTTTTGTGATGGGTTGGCGACATCAAGCAGTCAACCAGGCGGACTTTTGTTCGGGGTGCCCGTCTTCAAGTGGCTAGGTGGTGTTTTTGGAGGCTGGGATGTCGAGCCGACGGTCCGACGGTCTTCGGAAGACCTCGTTTTGGAGGTTTTGTTGAGGCGTACCTGGGGTTGGGCAAAACTATGTTTAATCCACCAGACCCTGACCTTCAAACAGAAGCCAGAAGGGTGTGGTTGAAGCAGTCGTTTCAACATGGTGAAACAAGTTGGCCCAACCTGTCGGAAGATCGTTTTGGTTACTGGAGCAGTGGATCCAACCCGAAACGAGGTCCACATTCGCATCCGCAGTGTGTCCTGGAAATGGCGAAGGGCTTGCGGCAAAACGGGGGACTTTTTAGGTTCAAGACAAGGGCGCCCTGCTCAATCCTGGCACCATAATTTGGCCGGACTAGTATGACATATTGTGAAACTTGCAGATCATTCCAAAGGTTGACACCCCTGTTCTTTTTGCCCATTGTGTTTTTCGGGAAACCACTCAGCTTCTGCGTGTTTGGCAATTTTCCAAAAAGAAAGAGAAAGAGGAGGGGGGGAACTAGAATGGGTACATACACCACGACACCGCTGCATCAATGTCATGGGCAGGTGGTTTTCCGGCCGTCGAAAAGAAGCCTTTTGGAAACAGAGAAGTTGGACGTCAGGGTTCCTGTCTCAGGAAGCACTCGAGGGTTGTTTCATGTTCGTAAAAGTTTGCCCCGGGGCTCGGATAGAGACCGCTCTCATAGGCTCCATAAGTCCGTGCCCGAAAATCGATGCCATCCGTGTTCCGCAAACATGTTGCTTGAGTTCGCGTGGGAAAGGGCCTGTGACGTGGGCGCTGTAAGGTGATGGCTCTTTGATTTTCTTAAGAATTTGTGTTTCTTTTCCCCTATTGGTCTTAACGGGAACCTATCACTGTTGGTCTTTTCTTTTTCTTCCCGAGGACTCAAGCAAATGGAAAGGCCTTTTCAAGCTGAAAGGTTGCTCCGGAGGTCCCAATTTTCTTCACGCATCTGTTTCTTCTTGCAGACATGTACAGAACTCGGGAGACTTCTCCAGTTTAGCTTTCAGGTTCAGGACCGAAGGATGTGAACAAATCTATAGTTACTATAGCATGTAGGTCGTTCTTGACTAGACCAAAGTGAAAGCACATTCCCATAGTGGAAATCCGGCTGTGTGGGCGGTGAAAATTTTCCAACTCACACAGCTGTGGCGGCCATTTCGCTTTGAGTCTTTGGTGTGGCGTCTCCACGTTCTTGTTGAACTCCCTTCCGAAATGGATGGTCTCCGACTGGCAAAAACTGAAGCTTGAGGGTTTTGCAGGTTGATTCCGACCCACCGTTAGACCATGTTCCTGGTCCAAGCGCCAACATCATAAGCCATGCGGGGGCACGTTCAGCTGTTTGCAGAGACCTCGGCCATAGGTCCTGAAAGCCGCAGGATCTTTTCCATTCCGTTCCCCCAACATGCCATCGCGACCTTCGGGGAACGTGAGAGAGGTTCGAGGCCCGCCCTCCAGACTCGGTGGAGATAAAGAATGTGGGGAAATACAGAAGCAAAGGCCAGCATTTGGGTACGGGTCACAATTTTCAACCACCAGGATAGGGACCGCAGGTTTTTGTCCTTGTCTCCGTTTAAGAGATTTCCGTCTTGGACCCACACCCGTTTCAGGGGAGTTTCCGCCGCTTTCCTGGCAATTCTCAGGAGGATTTCGAACACACTGCGGTAAAGCTGGCGACCCTCTTCAAGGAATCTGTGGCGATGTCTGCTCATGTTTTTTTTTTTTTTTCACCCCCTTGCATTGCCAGACTGAATTCGGTTTCTTGGTGTTTTGCCCTTTTGTTTCTGATTTTTCCTTTGAACTAGTGAAGATGCGGGAAGCAACAAGTTAACTCTTTGGAGGGTTTCTAAGTCTGGTCAGGTTTTGCGAGCAGCCAGTTGTTCAAGCGACCATTGGGTGCGGCTCTTACTTGGACCCATATGAAGCCATGGTCATTTTGAAACCACAGGGGTTTAATTAGTCCATTAATTAACTGGGGGGTTTCATACTAATCATATATGTTTGGTACCCCCTCATTGGCGGTTTGGATTGGCGGTTTGGGGATTTGAGCCCCTGGTTCTTGTAGAGGGTGAATGGAAAGCTTAATTAGAGGGAAGCTGAAAAAGGATTCAAACATGCAGCCTTTGAGAAAGGGTTTCAGAACCAGCCTTTCTTCCGGTTCAGTTGAAGCGAAAGTGACATTTGGGTCAGCTACCTTTCACCGTACCCCGCCTCAGCATGAAACGCCGGGTAGCCCAACATGCCCCCAAAATCAGTGGCTATACATGGCTACAGGGGCAGTAATGAGTTCATGTATCCTTGTATGGCTTATAGGTATGTCATTGGCTGTGGAGATACGTTTTACTGGCCGTACATTCATCAGCAACTGCACGCACGTGCCCGCCGCCGATTAAGACAGACTGGACGGTGGCTACAGACAGGACCAACACTTGTTCCGGAACAAGGGTGTTTGCCGCTGCCACAAGTCGCTGTCTCTTTCTTGAGGGTACCCCTTTTGGAGTGGCTTTAAAGGGAAGCCAAAGGACACCGTTGCCATTTTTCGCTGTCCCATATCTTAAGGAAGTTCGTCCCTGCAAACGCGTTGTAAGTAATCGAGTGTATGTTGTGTAGGTTTTCTGCCATGCTGGCGCTGTGATGCGAGAAGCGTTTCTTAGCCGACAGCGAGCACTTGTCTTGCGATTCTGTTGACCCGAAGAGAAGAAGCCTTGCAAGTGCAACACGCAGTGAAATGCAGGACACCAAGTGAAGAAGACCAGATTGGGCCCTCATCGCATCGTTCTCCTCTGCGAGTCAGTCCTCCACACTTCCCAGGTACCGCACATTTTCCGGGCATCTTGAGAGGGCGTTGACAGGCGGCTTGATTCCCTCGCCTGCTTCTCTATACCTCGAAAGCGCATTCCGCACGTCTCACAGGAGAACTTTAAGAAGTTCGAGGAGGGCTGCTCCGACGACATCCGCGCTGCTGCCCCCGAGTGAGGCCGGAGTCGGAGGATTTGTTTTAAGAACTCACGGAGCGGTCAACCATGGGGTAAAACGAGCTCACCCGCTTGAGGGTTCCGCATTTCATGGGTATGTTTTATAGTAGTCGTCCAGGATACATTCTGAAGTTTCCGGAGTTGGGTATTCCTGATTTCTAACAAGTGAAGTAGTGGTGCGCTGGACGGACACCAAAGTTGACGGCCGATGCGAAAAGCTTGTGGTTTAAACGTGACCGTAGCGTATCACGAAGATGTTACTTCCAACTCATCATGCGCCCACCATGTTGCTTCGCTCGCTGTGGGGCTGCAGAGATTTTGGAGGTGGAGGGCGAACAATTCAAGAGCTAGGCCTGCGGCTTTGGCCGTATGCAACAAGCACTGCCTGTCAAGCATGAAAGCCGAACCTGGATCGGACATCTGTTGGACGCTATGGACGTAGCATAAGGTTCGCAAGTTCGAGGTGACCACGTTACCTAAGGCAGGCTCGCCCCGACGCGAGAGACCACGAAACATGCAAGGCAAGGCCAGACATCGCGGAGGCCGACTCCGAAGGCGAACCGCTACTCGTCGAGGACTCTGCCAGGACAACACTATTGCGCCCAATTTGCGCACTGCGTACCCAGACCACGACATGTTACATTGTGGCAACGCAGGCAAACAATCTTCTCGCGTGCTGTAATTATGGCGAACCCACGCGAGAGCAATCTCGGTGTGCAGAAAAGGCATTCAACACTGCATGCTCCATGCAACCAGATCTGCAACAGGACGCCAACAGCAACCCACTGTGCTGGGACACGTTGCCGCCAAGAACGAAAGGAGACAATGATCGAAACGCGCCTACCGGCACGTCACGTCTTCAATGCGAAAGGGCTGAACCAAACACGTGTCAAACAAGCAAGTGCGTTGCTAGATGCTGCGGTTTTATTGCAAAAGCAAATCCCAAAGCAACAACATCGCGCAGACGCCGGCATCGCGACAGCCAACACGACATCTCGTGGACAATGTGACAGCTCTTTGAACACTTCCTAGGCGTTTCGTGTTTTGCAAAAGCAGCGCCCGGTATCACCGCCGCCCGCGTGGAGTTTGCGGATGACACGGCCTTCATGATCACCTCCGCTTCTCTCGCCGACCGTTTGCTCCTCAGAATTCAGCAACGCGCTGTTGGCTTCGGTCTGGGTGAACTTGTCCAAACACGTTGGACCGCTCTGATTAACCTCACCCAAGATAAGTCCATGGTGTTGCAAAGGTGAAATGCAACGTGCGCACAAAGACAAGCACAACCACAAACACACAAGCACAAATACAAGCACACACCCACACCCACACGTCATATCCCGGTTGAAACAATGTTGTTGCCCTTCGCACTCCCCGAGTTCGTGGACACGTGCTTTTGGGAAGACCAACGTTGTCGCAAACAAACTGTTTGGACGCTTGGCCAATCCGCTCAAGCCAGCCTAGCTAAATTAAGCGTGTGAACGAAGCATGAGCAACAGGGCGCGCGAGCGAAGCATGGGCAACCCGTCGCGGCTTGTCTTGAGCTCTTGAAAGTTCGAATACAGCTCACTTCCATCTCCCGTGTGCGACCTTCGGTGTTCGCCCCAGTTGGGCTGTCCAACAGGTGCACACAACTGGGTGCTAGATAGGAGGTTTGGAAACCCATTTCCTGCTGGTTTCCTTCTCGTAAGCAAATACTGTTGTTTCCCTTTCCAGGTTTCCTTTGGCAGGGAGGCGCGATTTCCCAAGTGGGACACGCTTAGGCGCCCACGGCACTTGACGCAGCAAAGGGCCCATTCTAGGAGTTGATGTGCCGTGCTCAGCGTTTCCCTGGGGTGTTGGGGTGGATTTCTGGAAAGATTTGGCCATGGGTCAACCAGTGAGCATCCCAATCGCCACTAAAATAGACTAAAATGGGTGGTGCACCTACCCGGTTTTGACCCATAGCCATTCAAATCCCTGGGTTGAGACTAGGAAGACCCCCCCCTAGCACTCGAGGCGCAGGCGCTCCGGGCGCCTTGCCGCTGCGCGCTTGGGCCGCCGCGGCGGGGCGCGAATTCTTTACGCTTGGCCAGGTTTGCATGGAGTGCTCCACCATGGCATGGCGAGATGGAAGGCGGTGGATGCAAAGGGAGTCGTGTCAAAACCTCTTTTAAACAGGGCAACTCAAAACCCAAATGGCTGGATTCTTTTTGGTTCCCAATGGAAACTAACCCAGAAGGGCCGAACCAAAAGACGCGTAAATCAGTGGTGTCGGCAAACATGTGAGGCTCGGTGATTTCCTGCTTCCATCCAGTTTGGAGGGGCTCACTGACTCGACATCTCGCTGGGATGGCCTCACCTCTCGGCAGCTTTGGGCGAAGGGCGGCAGAATGTGCACGGAGGATATGTCCGCCTCCTTTTGGGCCTGCTGGTTGAACCTGAAATGGAATCTCTTGGCTTGTCCATTATCATGGACACCCACTAGCTTGTAGTGCAAAGCTCACTCCCCCACAAACATGGACATGCCCAGACTTTGGAAGAGTACAACAGCACATGGACAGGGGACTGGAAGCTTTTCATTTCCACATGAAGCCCAAGCTAAATCATGTCCGCCAAAGGTCCCTGTTCTGTAAAGAACCGAGAACGCAACCACAAAAGAGCCATGCCTTTTTCTTGAAACACAAGCGACTCATCGCACAATTTGTCGCGCAGAGGGGAAACACCATCGCCCTTCCGGTCTCGCCGTGTCGCCTGGCCACCGCTCTGGTTGGATTTGGATCTTTTAATGAAAGCCGCACGAGCCGCCGGACGCGTCTGGGCTGGGACCCAAGGGCTGTGGGAGATGATCGCAAGAGAACAATGCGTGTAATTATTTGGCCATGAACTTGAACAGGGGATCACCTTAATGCTTGGTGGACATGAATCCCCCGCTAGATCATGTTTACCAAAGGGTCGCATGAAAATCACACCCAGTTTGGCCCCTTTGATTCTACTTGGCCCCTTTGACTTTCCCACTTGGCGTGAGGCCACTGGAATCTTGTGGAACCCACCTCGCTTTGGCGGCTTGACGGGCGTTCTGGGGCTCGGTAGAGAAAGCTGACTGAATGCAAGGATGTGCAGCCGTGAACCCCTAAACCAGCCAACGCACATGTGTCAAGATAGGCGGACCTTGTAAAATGGGCGGTTTTCCTTTTGTAAATCAATGGCTCAAAAGGAGACACCCCCCATGTAGCGGGAGCTCCTGGTGGTGAAAGGAATGGACCCCTGTGTGGTTGGTGACCTGATATTTTCGGGGTTGCATTGTCAACAGCGATCCCCCTAAAAGGGGTCCATGGTAGTGGTACTAGTGGTACTTATACTTTGAAAGGCAAATCACATCCCAACCACATTGGCCCACAAACAGCCTCATTGAAAGGCTATTTCGACATTCCCAGTTTTTGGGTTAGGGCCATGGCTTTGTGGCGCATCGAGTGTTCCTCAGAAATGCATTTGTAGGTTGCCGTTTGCACGTGCAGGGAGTAGCATTGAGTTTGAGCGCTTCTGTCTTCGGTTTCTGTTTGCTCGGACCCACCGATCCCCAATTCGAGGCGTGCTTTGGCGCCCTCCAGACATCTTCACCGCAACGGCCGGTGTTTCTTTCGGGCGGCAGGGGTCCAACACCCCCCTCGCGCGATGGCCGTGACCCACTGGGGCCGCTTTGTTGCTCCGGGTAGCCGCCCGAGTGGCCAGCGCTTCGCGGTGCGGAACCAGCACGCTTCCATGGACTTTGTGGCTATGTGTTTTTGCAAGCAGTTTTTTACGCAGTTTGCCGGTGACTAAAAACTAAAGCGCATAGAAGATACATCGAATTTCAGGGCGTCAGCCTTGAGGTTATCAAATGGTCACTCATGGTTCCCCTTATCTCCGCAAGTGGGTTTTCACACGAGTCAACTTGGACAGGAAGCATAGTTTGAGCTGCAGGTCGCCGAATCTTTTGCGGGGCTGTTCTAATTCAGAAACCCATGTTTGAGTAGTTTTACCCGAAGTTACTTTATGGGGAGCCCTAGCCCCTAACAACCCCATAGCAGTTGTTGGATGGGTTTCCCTGGAAAGGCAAACAAAGGGCGTCCCTTTCCTACGGTCACTGGGGAAGAGAGTGAGCCTGTGAAAGTTTCCTCATGTCTTCGAATTGATTCTTCACATCTAGCGTGGATGGCTGCAAAAAGACTCAGTTTGTTGCTCAACACCAGCAAAGTTAGAAGGGTTGTTCCCAACGAAGAGCAGCACTGGCTTCTCTTGGCCATCCAAAAGAGGGTTTCGTGTTTCGGGAATACCCTCTTCGCTCATCGGGCCGTCGAATGCACCATTTTTTTTTGAAGCATCATGAAGGAGGCGACGCGACGCGCGACGCGCGACGCGCTGTGCCATATGCTTTTGTCAAAAAACGAGGACATGGCATCTTACAGGGCCCAGGAATTTCCAGGAAAGCCGACCGACTTCTCGCCTGTTTCATACTCCTTCATGCTCCTTCTGCCAACTGTTTGTTTTGCCCAGAACAAACTTTAGGCTCTGGGAAAAATGAGCAGTTTCCCGTTGATCAGCAACAGTGATACATTTCGGGGCATGGGACAGCCCAGTACCAAGCCAGGTTAGCCCAACCCAGTCCAGCAAACGAAGTGGTGAGGAGTCCAACCCGTTGAAGGCTTTTCAGGAAGTTCTCTTGTGGTCATAGCGTCCTGATAGCAAACCTGCACATCACCCGCAGCAACGAGATGAAGTCAAAAATCATGTTTCGAGGCTGGGTGCTTGGCAGCGGTAAAAAGCGACTCCGGAGGCCAATCTCAGTTTGGGCTCTTGGCTCGTACCGGACATGGCGGGTTTCTCAAACGTCCATGTGTGCCGCCAATCTGTGGAACCCCGGGTGTCAAAAACTGGTAATTGTCCACCATGGAAGTTTTGGTAAATGTAAACCTGCACTAAAATCTGTGGCCTGGTTGGTTTTCGTTTTGACCAACCATTTTGGGGTTTCCAACACTGACCAGAAGTTGAAAGCGCGCCCAAGTTTTGGGCCAAGCAAAGGTTTCGTCCCTTTCGGCAATCGGGACCACTGAAGAGGCCAAGGAGAGGTGGGGAACGACTTTCCGAACCTTCAGACTCCTGGTTTTGCTTGAATGAACCAATTTGGGGATTCCCGAAGAAAGGAAACCAGAGGAATCGGATGGTTTTGCTCGGAGTCATTCCAACTCATTCCCTGAGAGCAAGCTTCCTCTAGTGCGGAGGGCGAACTTTTCTTTTGGGAAAATAGAAGCACTGGACTCCGCAGACATGGGATCTTTCCCTATGGGGTTCGGCTCGCCTGAGCGTTTTCACCGTCTGGCTCCATGCTTCCGTGAACCGCACATGGAGGGCTAGGGCTGATGTTTCCATGACATCCTGCAAGGCTGGGCAAAGCGCTAGCGACCCTCGCTGGCATTTTTTTTTTTGTTCGCTTCCAACCAGTTACAATTGGCCTGTCTTTGCGGCTCTCAGCTCTTTGGTCCTCTCTCTTCGGCTCTTGGCCTCTTGCTTGCCGCCCTGGGTTTGGCTTGCGGCTCTTTCCGGCACTCTCGCGACAACCAGAAACTGAGCTCGGCCATGGCAGGCGGGATTGAGTGGCAGAAAGGGGGGTGGGA